ATGAGAGGAGGTGAGGAGTGAGGGATAAGATAAGATATCAGGGAAATAAAACTTTGGCAGAGCAAAGATGGTTGCATCTCCTTAAAAGTGACAGACTCCCAGGCTTAGGATAAGAAGGCATTTATTCCCATGTGGCATAGGACCCCCAGACTTTCTCTCTCCTTTTTTTTTTTTGAGCCAATTGGGGTTAAGTGACTTGCCCAGGGTGACACAGCTAGTAAGTGTCTGAGGCCATATTTAAACTCAGGTCCTCCTGACTCCAGGGCTGGTACTCTATCCACTGTGCCATCTAGCTGCTCCTCTCTCCCTCCTCTTTTATGAACTCCTAGAATCCTGGCTCTGGGAGCAGGCAGGTGCTGGGAGAACATAGTGGTTGATAGTTCTGGGGAATTAGTTTTATATTTTAGCCCCAGGTCTACCACAAATCAGTTAGGGGGTGGTCACTTCTCTTCTTGGCACTTTATTTTCCTTATTTGTAAAATTGGGGGGTTGAACTAGATTCTGAGTATCCAACCCCCAGCCACTATATCAAACTCGGCCCACCTGACACTGAGATGTGGATCTGATATTTTTAGAAACACTTAAAAAACACTCCTGAAATAGTAAGAATCAAGAATAAGACAATGTATCTGTTAGCAGGCTTTTATCAGTCAGTAATTATGTAGAAAACTGTATATAAAAAAATTCACACATATATGGATTTCTGACCACCTAAAGGCAACATATTGAGCAGATGTGGATGTCTTTGACCCACTTGACCTCCAGGGTCCCATTCAACTTGAAAGTACTCTGTTTCCTTGTTTCTTGGTTCCAACCTTTTTTTCATTTTATGATGCTGAGCTCTATCTATAATTCTGTGTTCAAGATTCTGTCCTAACTAGTATTCCTAATTTTGAGTCACCAGCTCAGACCCGTCAAGAAGAGACGGGTGGTGCTGGTAACTTGTCTGTGATTCATAATGACAACCCTTGGTGGGGTAGGGGTAGGAAGTGTGGAGGGAGGGGGAGAACTTGTTTGTCTCCAGGAGAGCTGGTCCCCCAGGGCCAGAAGGGATTTTTGTCTTGAAGAAAAAGTAATATGTGTGTGCAAAGGCTTTTTCTTTTTCTTTTTCAGTGGTTGTTTTTGTTTGTTTTTGATGGGTCTATCCGTAAGCCTGTATGACTATGTATCAGTTTGAATGTGTTTGAGTTTGTGTATGACATTCTGTATTGCTGTATCTGTGTGTATGATTGTGTTTGCCCGTGTTTTTGTATTTTCACTGGCTCTGGCCTTCCGATAGCCACTTGGGCATCATACCCAGTTAACTTTACCTATGAACTTTCAGTCTTGCTTCCTAAGCCATCCTTGGAACCAGATATTCCCTCCCTCACCCTAGACTTTGGACGCAGCTCTATCTGACCCTGCAAGTTCCCTCAAATTACTGCCAGGGTCTCTAATTAGGGTTCCTAGGTGGTAGGGGCAGAAGCATTTCTTTCCTTGACCTTTGATCCCAGAGGCATGTGGGGTAACTGTATTCCTGGATCACCATTATGACAGGTCTGTGACTCATCTGGGACCTATGCTGTGGCTCAGTTTCCCATTTATGAAATTGTGTGTCAGTTGCTGTGGGTGGTTGGGTGGGTCCTTTTCCTTAGAAGGTTCCAGGGCTCCCCTTTCCTTCTCTTATTGACAATTCAAAATCTGGCTAAGATCAATGACCCCAATCGCAAGCAAAATTTCTCTAATCCTTTAAAGCAGGGGTTTTTAACTTTTTGTATGTGTCATGGACCCCTTTGGTGGTCTGGTGAAACCTTCTTAGAATAATAATGTTTTTAAGCGCATAAAATAAAATAAAATACATAGGATTATGAAGGAAACCAATTATATTGAAATATAGTTATCAAAATACATATTCTTTAAAGATAATTAACCTGAAGTTAAGACTACTTGCTTTAAAGGAGTAATCAATCAGTTCCCAAGGAACAGGGTGAAAACTCAACTGGAAAGAGGCCCAACTTTTTGGAACAATAGGTCCTACTTCCATATTAGGATACTGGCCCCTGGGTAGATCTGGGGTGAGTGGGAAGTACATGTGAATAGGTACAATGTGTACCATATGGCTTATTAGCATGCCTAGATACTGTCACATAGAACATACTTGCTTGGAAACTTTAACAGATCTATGGTCTTATCCATATGGGGACTTCCTCTCCCCATAGAAATCAGAACCCTTGTGCACCTCCTCCAATACAATTCTTGCTCATGTTTTCACACAAATCATCCAGAGCGGTGTTGTCAAACTCAAATAGAAAGAGGAGTCACTGGGGCAGCTAGGTGATGCACTGGATAGAGCACCAGCCCTGAAGTCAGGATGGACCTGAGTTCAAATCTAGCCTCAGACCAAACACTTGACACCTACTAGCTGTGTGACCCTGGGCAAGTCACTTAACCCCAATTGCCTAAAAAAGAAAGAAATGAGGGCTAAAAAAAAGATCACTAATCTGAAAATGTTTAATAAGAATGTATATATATATATATATACATATATATATATATAACCTATATCAGATTGTGCACCCTCTTGGGGAGGAAGGGGGAGAAAAATTTTAACCTCAAAAGCATATGGAAGTGATTGTTGATAAATCAAAATAAATTAATTAATAAAAAAAGAAAAAAAAGAAATAGGAGTCACTAATCCATACATAAGGATCCCTACAGACTGCATTTTGAGTTAGTTTAAAAAATGTAATATTATTTATATTTATGGTATTTTTTACTTATTTTGTTAAATATTCCCCAATTACAGTTATCCCTTTCACATCACAGGGGCTAAGGGTAAGGCACCCCCTTGATCTGGAAAATCCATGTAAAATACTTTGGCCCTTCCTTCATACCAGATCCTGATGGAGAAGGTCTTGATGTGGAAAGGATAACTGTACATTTTAATCAGGTTCCAATGGCAACTTCTGCCGGGTGGGCAGGGGACTGGGCACCTCTGGCCATGCTTGGAGCCTTCTTGTTCTCTTAGCATTTTGGGCACAAAATGTACAATATACACAAACATAGTCATACAGAACATGTAAGATGCAATATATAAATTACAGAATCATAGAACCAAAGAATCTCACTCATGCACAGAAGGGAACTCAGAGAATAGGAATCTTTTTTACAACATATCTTATAAGTGTCCCTTTAACTTCCATTCCAAGACCCCTCACCCCACCCCCAGTAATCAGGAACTCTCTACCTCTGGCTGAAGCTTATTTAATTTTTTTGGACAGTACTAATCATTACCAAGTCTTTCCCTATATGAAGCAGAAATCTGCTTCTTTGCCTGGGTGCCTGTTCACCCTTGGGAGTGGGTCACTAGGAAGAGCTTCTAGGAGAAGTGTAATACCCTAAATTTGGAAGTTTCAACTTCTCTCTCAGCAGTGAAAGAATGCTGGATTTGAAGTCAGAGGACTTAGGTTCAAATTCTGACTCTGCTACTTAATACTCATGTGACACTGAGCAGATCAGGTCATCTCTCAGAGTCTGTATCCTTGACTGTAAAACGGACTAGATAAGCCCTGAGATTCCTTTTAGTTATGATACTGTGAACTTCTAGCAGCTGATCCTAGCTCTGCCCTGTCATGCAGAACCGTCTGGCAACGAGCATTTATTAAGAGTGCTGGGGATACAATGAAAGGCAAAAACAGTCCCTGCTCTCATGGAGATCATAGTCTCCACGAGAGGAGAAACATGTAAATAACTAGATACATAGAAAATATACACAGAGTGCATAGAAAGGAATCTCTGAAGGGAAGGTTGTGGGGGCCGAGATGGGGAGAGAGGGAGAGGTCTGCTGCAGAAGGTAGGATTTAAGCCATCTGAAGGAAGCCGGGAAAAGTAGGAGACGAATTTGAGGAGGGAGAACATAGAGCTCAAGGGCACATGACCATACAGAACATACAGTCATACACAGCATACAATACACACAGCACATGTGATCTACACGTGTTGCACGTTTAGAACACGTGATTGTTCAGATGAAAAACGTAGTATCCGAGACTTAGATCTGGAGGCATCTAGTCTAACCCCCTCGTTTTACAGATGAGAAAAATGAGGTTCAGAAGACTTTACTCCCTTCCAATCCAACACCACGGGCCTTCTTGCCCTTTCTCACACACTACACCCTACTTCCCGACTCTGGAGCCTTTCCTCCCAGGCTCTCACTCTTCACCTCTGACTACTGGCTTTCCTGGTTGCTTTCAATCCTCGGTTCAAATACCACCTTTCAGGAAACCTTTCGTGATCCTCCTATTCCACCCCGCTCTCCACCTCCCCCTTCTCCCTCCCCACAGAAAGAGCCTTCCCTTTGAAATTACTTCCCATCTACCCTACATATCTTGTACATACATAGTTGTTAGTTAACATGTTGTTTTCCCCGTTAGAATATGAGCTGCCGGAGAGCCGGAACCATGGTTTTACTTTTCTTTGTATTAGCGTAGCACTTAATAAATCCTTGTTGACTGACTGGAGAAAGATTTGCTTCTAAGGAACAGGGATAGGGGACTGGGGAAGATGGGGACAGGGGCGGTGTGGAGAAGCGGGACTCAGCGGCTGCTGCTTCGGTCACTGTTCCTCCTCTCAGTCGCTAAAAAGAACAGGCTTCACTTCTCTCCAAAACCCTAAACGCCGGTTACCTAAAAGGAAAAGGGCGAAAGGGGAGCGGAAAGCGCGGGAGACCTTGGAATAGGGATCTTATTCTCCCATTTCAGTTCCAGGGTAGGTGGGCCACATCCTAAAGCTGCTTGGGAAATTTTCTGGGAGAGAAAAAGTTGTCAAAGAGTTGGGGGCGTTGCGCAGTTTGTCAAACTCGTTCCTCCCCAGGAAGCCCATGACCGGCGCGCCCCTCTCCGCCTTTACGAGCCGGAGGCTCTGGGTGGGCGGGAGGGGAGGCAGGCGGGCGGGGCGGGGTGCGGTGGGGGGCGGGACGAGCAGCGGCCGGGGAAGCAGAGCCTGCTTATAAAGCAGGGTCCCTGCAAGGGCCCCGCAGCGCGGTAGCGGACGGTGCGCTCCTGTCCTCTTCTGTCCTCTATTCATTTGCGCGCTCTGCTCTGACACCTGCAGCTTCGGCGTTCCCAATACAGAGCTCCCATACACTCTCTCACTCTTACCCTCGAGTTCTTGCCCCACGGTATTGCGTCCCCACTCCGAACCATGGGCCGTCAGAAGGAACTAGTGTCGCGCTGCGGGGAGCTGCTGCGGGTCCGGTACCGGCTGCTGCGCCAGGCTCTCGCTGAATGCCTCGGGACGCTCATACTGGTGGTAAGAGAGGAAAAGGGACAGGAGATCAGGAGGACTGGAGGAAGCACGGGGCTCTGGTCGAGGGAGACAGTTTCCTTTCGATGAAAATTCTTTACCTTCATTCCCCAGATCCCAGCTAGTCCCTTCAATTACGTCTCTGTTCTTTCAAAGTCCATCCGCCAACAACCGGACAGACTTTCCATTAGCACCAGCTCCATCAGGGGCCAAAATGACAGCGCCCATGCTACAGGGCAGTGCTAAGGGCCCCCCTTGAGTCCTTGAACTCCCAAACTTTCCACCCGACTCCTCATCTCCTGAAATCCTGGTTCTAACCAGCTTGAAGACGGGAAGGGCAAAGGGTCCTACTTTTGCCAGGAAGAAATGGGGTTGAGACGGCTAGTTGAGGATTATTAAGACAACATCGTCTGGTCCCTAATGAATAATTAAACCTAGAAAAGTCCAAAAGTTACTCCGAATAAAAGATATTGAGATCTGGGGTCAGTAGGGGCTTAGGGTTACTTGAAGGAATTTGTCTCAAGTACCTTGGGATGACTGTCTTGTGCTGTGGGAAGATGTTGGCCTGGGCTGGGTCCTTGTAGATAGGAGGGCGATGACTTCTTAAATTTGCCCATCTGGGAAGGGGAGTGACTGAGGACTCAGAACACCTCAGGTTTGAGTTCTGTCTCACTCATCTCTGTGACCTTGGGCAAGTCACATAACCTCCCTTTGCCTCAATTTCCTAAGTGTTAAAAGAGGAAGATGGACTAGATTCTGTGGTCCCTACCACCTATAGATCTGTAATCATCTTGTGGAGAGAAAAATGAAATTACCTTCACTTTACTCGTGGTTGCTCTTGGTAACTTCTATTGCCTTTACTTTCTTCCGCTATCATTCCTGAGCGACTCTTGCTTATTCTTATCCTAGTCCATGGTAGCCAGTTATTCTTGATTTCTACTGTGTTACTTTTGGTTATATTTGCTCTTAATTATACTTAAGTTACTCAGTTACATTTATTTTTAGTTACCTTGTTTTTGTTGTATACTTCTGGTTATCCCTCTTTCCAGTTACGGCTCTTCATTGCCTTGCACTGAGTTAAGTGCTCTGTGCAGACTGCCGCCAAAATAGAATAGAAGGGCTGGAGAGGGGTGGTGGAATATGGAAGTTGGAGTGAATACGGATGGAGCAGGGCAGGGGTTAGAGGCTAGGTCAGGATGAAGCTGAACCGGGGTGTGTGTTCGCATGTGTGTATGGAATGGGGAGTGTCTCCTTACCTATTGCCCTAGGTTCTCTGACAGGTGAAGAAGTCCAGCGATCAGTGTGCTGGAGGCAGTTAGGAAGGGGTATATAGATATGGGGAGACCTGACCAATTAAAATGCAGAGCCCTGAACTTCAAGATATAACCCTTGTTTTGGAAAGAGAGGGAGACAAGGAAAGAATGCACTTTGCCGCTACCCCCTTTGCCCAATGGAGACTGGCAAGGCTCTACCAGCCATCTGGAGACATCTGCATCTCTCACGTTTGCAGGTAGCTATACCCAGGCAAGATAGTGCCACTAATTGGCAGAAGAGGAGGCCAGGACTGTAGGGTGGGATTTGGAGGACAGAGGTGGGTCTTTGTATCATCTTTGTCTCTACATAACTGTGTCTGAGCAAGACAGTTCTATTTCTTGGCAAGAGAGAAGGGCAGGGCTTTCAGGTGGAGTTTGGGGACAAAACTAGGTTCCAGTGTCTTTTCCCTCTCCACCCTTCTCCCCCTCCCATGTATACATGCATTGAGACATTAGAGAAGACAGGGTTGGGAGTACAGCTCAGTGGTCCTGAGAGTGCATTTCTAACAACTCCATGGGATCATTCCCCTCCCCCCCACTTCTGCCTTCAAAACAAGCATTTTTTTAAAAAAAATTTATATATTTATTTTTAGTTTTTTAACATTAACTTTTATAAGATTTTGAGTTCTAAATCCCCCCCCCCCAAGATAGCATGCAATCTGCTATAGGCTATAAATGTACAATTGTCTTAAACATTTCTACATTAGTCTGCAAAAAGGCATTTCTAAGATTTAGGTGGAAGTGGGGTTGGCTCTCTTATTTTTGAAGGCAGCCCCATCCTCTCTTTGAACCTCAGGTGTTCTGCTCTTCCATTGTGAAATGAGAAGAAACTGTGCAGGGATCATTAAAGATCCTTGGCATGAGAGAGTAGTCTGCCTATCCCACCAAGGGATTAGAGGAATAATCTCAGTGCATACTAGCTGGGAGGATTGGGGTGTGATGTTTGTGGAGGTGCCTTTCAAGTGTATTTGGGCATGTGGGTGTGGGTGTTGGTGTGCCAGTGAAAGCTGAATGAGCTTGATGACCAGGTGGGGAGGAACTTTGTTTTGGAAAGAGGGGACAGGGATGACTCAAGAGCCCAGAGGATAGGATGATGGGGCAGGGGTAACCCTCAGTGGGTTAGGGTAAAGGGTCATGGAGGTTTGAAAGTCTTTGATGGTTCATCTGAGTGGGGGAAATCTAGAGAGATTTAGTGAGGTTAGAAGTCCAGAAGAGAGAAAGCAATCCCTTTTTCACAAAGAGGGGCAGGAAGAGTGTTGCTGAGAACTGGACAGACCCCCAACCCCATCTGTCAAGTGGAGAGAGGGAGAAGGGGCCAGTAGAGGGAGACAGGGAGATGGGCTAAGATGACCTCCAGGGTGAGGAAGAGGAAAATTAGCCAGGAGGAGACTCCTGCTGAACTGGCTCCTAGCCATCCCCTCCCTATTCCCTGACCTCTGGAACTGGGCCAGCACCCCAAACAATTGGCAGAGAGTGGAGTGGAGGCTGGGTCCTGGGCTAGGCCAAAGCATAGTGCCCCAGGGCTAGGCAATACTTTCCCCTGATGCTTTGCCCAACTTTTGTTCTTTGCTCTTTTTCTGTCATTTCATACCTTTGGACTTTACCTACTTACCAATTTTTATTCAGCTGGGGTGAAATTCCTTGATACTTTGGTGGCACCTCCCCTTGTAGATAGTCTTTCTGACTGTCTTTGGATTTCTCCCCTATTTCCATCCCCTGCATCTCCCTTCCTCCCCTATCTCCCCTCCTCCTATCTCCCTTCACTTCTCTTCAGGTTCTGAAAATATTTGTTAAATTCAGTTGCATTGAAGATTTTCCATGTGTTTTTGTCCCTTTCCTGTCTTCCTTTACCCCTCTCTCCTTTACCCACACTACTTTAAAAAATATCATTTGAAACCACATCTTAACCCTCTTTTTCCTTCTCTCAGAGAGGGATTAATTAAGACTCTTCACACCTCAGTGGGGCAAGGGTTCCAATCAAGTAAACATTTATCCATTTTCCCACACACCACACCTCCTCCCCACTTATCCTCCCGGTGCTCAGCCTTGAGCTGTACTCCCAGAGTGGGGGAGGGGGAGAGGAGCGGAGAAACAAATTAAACAATAAAATCAGGCTTAAATGCCAGCTCAAGATGGCAGTATAAGAAGTTGAAAGGCTGAAGGAATTCAGTGCCTAATGAGTGGCATTAAACATAAGGCTTGTAGAAACTTACAGAAGGAAAAGAAGTTAACCAGGATTTGTCAGGGTGCGCGCACGTGTGTGTGCGTGTCTGGGGGGGCGAGATGGGAGTGATTGTCGGGGATTTTACTTTAAGGATATTATATGACTGCCTTTTGCCTGCAACTGAGGTCTGGAGTTTGCATATTTGTTGTGGAGAGGATTTTTGTTGTTCCAGACCTGTAATTTAATGACTGTAGAGAACTCCCTGTAATGAAACTCCTTCCACCAATGCATATGCCTAACTGCCCTGAAATTTATAGTCTTCTAGTTGGATAAGACCTAGAAATCCTAACCCTGGACTAGCACACTGTCCTGGTCTTTCCCCAATCTTCTTGTCTGTCTCATTAGAGGAAGCAATGTGTATGGATGACTCCAATTTAGTTTTGTCCCTTGGGCATCTTGATTCCGCATGTTGTAATTAGGTTGGAGATGGAGGGGCAATGAGAAGAGGATAAAGAGGAAAGACTCCAAATTAGATGTTTATAGGTAGACTATTTCTATCCCTTGATACCAGTTTTGAAGATGACTGGGTCTTGTCATGGGAAGAAACGTGAGTGGGAAAAAAGGAGGCATGGAGGTTTTCAGGATCTTGAAGGCGATTTTCTGGGGTGGGAGGCCCTAACATACTCATCATCAGAGATCATTAGAGCTGAAGGATATAATATCCTTGTATAGAGGAACCTTGGAACAAAATAATTGTAATCCCTCAAATTCGTATAAAGCTTTCCAGTTTTCAGATCATTTTCCACATACTCCTGTAATCATTCATATAATCTTATGAATTTGATAGGGAAGTACCTATACTCCCAATTTACTAATAAGGAAATTGAAACTTCAGAAGGTTAAAGGATGGTCCCAAGATCACACAGTGATTGAACCATAACTATAAACACAGTCTCATGATTCCGAGTTCAGTGCTCTTTATACTGCCCTTAGCTTATCAGATGACTTTTTTCAGGCTACACTATGTTATTTTGTAGGAGGGATGTCTCCACTGGCAGCAGAAAGGAAATTGGCTAGATTGGCTTCATAATGGGGGTTATGTATGTGTGAGCATACATGGGTATTTATTATGGAGGCATGGACAAGAAGCCCCTATGCCATATTAGCAATCCTCAATCTCACCCCATATTTCTCTATCACAGATGTTTGGCTGTGGCTCTGTGGCCCAGGTTGTGCTGAGCAGAGGGACCCACGGTGGCTTTCTTACCATCAACCTGGCTTTTGGCTTTGCAGTCACACTTGGTATCCTTATTGCTGGCCAAATATCTGGTATGTCCCCTCCCCCTTAATGTCCTCTTCCTTACTTGACCTCTGGAATGCCTCATTTAGACACTGGAAACACCTTGACCTGTGGGCCCTTTCCCCAGAGTGAAGGGATTCTGTCTTGTATCTTAGAAACCTAGAATTGAAACTTCCCACCCCATGTGGAAGATCTCTCCATAGCATCTCTGAAAAGTGGTTTTCCTGACTCTACTTGAACATTTTCAATGACAGAAAGTCAACTCTCTGCAAGGCATCCCATTCCATTTATACAATATAGTCTTCCTTATATTGAGTTGAAATCTGCCTCTTTGCAATTTTGATCTGTTGGTTCTATTCTCCTGGGGGTAAGCTAAGCCTCAGGATCTTAACTAAGGATAAGATATTAAACACCTAGCTCCTCTTCTTCTGTTTTATCCCCCATAGCTATGTCTGAATTGTGTCTTCTCTCTATCCAGGGGCCCACCTGAATCCAGCTGTGACCTTTGCTATGTGCTTCCTGGCGAGGGAGCCCTGGATCAAGCTGCCCATCTATGCACTAGCCCAGACAGTGGGGGCCTTCCTAGGGGCTGGGATTATCTTTGGGCTGTACTATGGTGAGGATCTACAAGGATTCTGAACTCTTCTCCCCTATTCTAGGGTTGTATTTCCCATACCGATCCCCCCCCCCCCTTACTTTGTCACTTTCCCCTTCTACTCCTTTCCCTTCCTCCTCTTCCTCCATTCCCCCAATCCTCAATCACTGACTTATCCTGCTATCAAAGTGGCCAGGTACTGACAGAAGGGCTGCCCCACCCTGCAGCCACCTGAGTACATGACTCACTGGGGCCCCCCATGAGGGGAACAAAGGGAGGGGTCATGGAGGGGAGGGATAAACAAGTTGGGTAACACGAAGAGATTCGTTACTCAACACCGACCCTCCCCACCCCCCCATCTGATGTAATAAGGTAATTATTTTTTGGTTGTTTTATGTCGCCTTCATGGAGCAACATATAAATTCTCTACCTTCCTGGGTAGCATACACCATACATATCTGGGAAATCTAACAGCTTCTCCCCACCTCTCAACTTTCCGGAACTCAGAAGGTAGCATGAGCTCAGAGGAAAAGGGTAAAGGGGATAATATAGGGGAAAGGATACTGACTGTGAAGTCAGAAGATCTGGATACTATGTAACCTTGGACTTCATTTTCTTCATCTGTAAAATGAAAGGGCCTGACTAGATGACTCCTGAATTTCCTTCCGGCTCCATATCTATGATCCTTTTAAGTCCCCAGAAATTGCATGTGTGGCTTCTCAATGAGCTGTGATGTAAGGGGGAGGGGAAAGGAGATGAGATTCTTACATTTAATTTGCCTTTGGAAAAATCCTGTTTTCCCTGCCCCACTCTCCCTGTGTAAGGGGAGGCTGTGGGGTTCCACTCTCATCCGTTCTGATCTTTCATGTGATGTTTCTTCAGATGCAATTTGGGCTTTTGCTGGTAACGAACTTTTTGTCTCCGGCCCCAATGGCACTGCCGGCATCTTTGCCACCTACCCTTCTGGCCACTTGGACATGGTCAATGGCTTCTTTGACCAGGTAAGATGCTTTGGAGTGAGGTTCTCAGCTTCTCTGTGCATCTCCTCTAACCCTGTTGTGGGAGACAGAAGGAGAAACTACTATCTGCCCCTGTTGAGGGAGACAGAAGGAGAAGCTACTATCTGCATTGCAGCAAATTCATGTAGTTGGGGAAATAAGACTTAAATGAGATGAAGGATGCAGAAGGGTAGTACATGATTAAGGAGGAAGATGTTGTAGCTCCAATTCCAAGTACTGGGGGAGCTTAGAGAGAACCAGTCAGGATGTTTCCTTCCTTGAGGGCGGAGGACTTGAATTCAACCTCCAAAGACAGGTAAGTTTTGGATAAGCAAAGAGGCAAGGAAACACTTGGGAAAGTGGAGAGGGATTTGTATACACCTTGAGCAGTGAGATCAGGGGACTTAAAGATTAACTTTCTCTGGATTCTTCCATCCTAGTTCATTGGCACAGCATCACTTATCGTCTGTGTGTTGGCTATTGTGGACCCCAACAACAACCCAGTTCCCCGAGGTCTTGAAGCCTTCACTGTTGGTTTTGTGGTCCTGGTCATTGGTACATCCATGGGCTTCAATTCTGGTTATGCTGTTAACCCAGCCCGAGATTTTGGTCCCCGCCTCTTCACTGCCATTGCTGGCTGGGGTTCTGAGGTCTTCACGTAAGTAATAGATGCCCTGCTGCTCCCTCCCTGTTTCAACTTCTTTGCCTCCCACTTCCAGGTTTCACTCTGGTTCCCCTCATTGGACTCTCCCTGTTTTCCATCTTATGTCATCAGGGCAGCATCCAAAGTCCTTTAGGTTGTCTTGAAATATATACCTTATTATAGCCTTGGTAAGGAGGGGTGGCTGGGCTATACCAGGGGCCTCACACAGATCTCTCTTCTTTCTCTCCAGAACGGGTCGACACTGGTGGTGGGTCCCCATCGTCTCACCACTTCTTGGTTCCATTTGTGGAGTTTTTGTCTATCAGCTCATGATTGGATTTCACCTGGAGCTTCCTCCTTCCACAGAGCAGGAGAATGTCAAGCTGGCTCATGTGAAACACAACGAACAGCTCTGAGTGGGAGAGTTGCAGCTCCCTCCCTCCAGGATCCCCACTCCTTCCCCTAGGAACTAACACTGATAGAACTGTGCCAGAGACATACCCCCAAAGCAGCCATAGCCTCCACCTCTCTGGTCCCCATGCCTCCTGTTCCTCTGGCCCTGGGAGACTCTTTCCTGAGGGCTATGTTTAGCAATAATGCTAAACCAAAAAAAGCCCCCTCAAACCTCTCTCCCCACCCTAGGGGTTAATGAATCCTTGGGAATCATGGTCAGTATGGATTTACAATGGTTGTTGGATTTAAGCCCTGCCCTGATGTTGCCAGACCTGAAGTAGGATATTTGCCGGAAATAATAAATTGCTTTGAGTTCTTGGAAGGTTCTTCAGAGGAAAAAAGAGAGGGGAAGTCAATAGCTAGAAACTCTGCAGATGTGTGAAGGGGTACAGATATGTGAGAGATGCATAGGTGTGAAGGTAGTTACAGATATACAAGGGCATTTTAGCCTTGGGAAAGTCCCAGATTCATTCATTCATTCATTCATTCATTCATTCATTCCAGATATAGGAGAGGCTCAAATGAAAGAGATTCCAAATGGAGACATGTTAGATACATGAGAGGCAGTGCAAATAAAAGGAAAGTCCAAGTGTGTGTGTGTGTGTGTGTGTGTGTGTGTGTGTGTAGGTATATTAGTGATTACAGATGTGTGTCAACCGAAATGTGTGTGTAAGGGGGAGGATACATATGTATATGTCCTAGAAAGGAGAGACCCAGAAGCAGAGGATCTTGCTAGACTTTGGGGAAGGGAGGAAGTCAGGGAGAGCAGAAAAACCTCTCGAAAGACACATTACTTTGCCTGGGGGGATGTGTGTGTTTGGGGGGAGAGACTCATAATTTGAGGTTCAGAGCTCTGCACATAGGCAGAATCCATTTGCTTGTTCCCACCCATGACCTCAGGTGGTGGGTGCTAAGTACACGGATATGTCTCATTTGGGCAAATGTTACAGCTAGGGTTGGGGGCCTTCCTTCCCCAACCAATGCCACTTGTTCCTTGCTCTTGGGTGTTCTTATTCCCTCCAGGCATTCCCAGATTGGGTCAAATAAGGGTGCCTGTTCCTCAAATACTCCTTATTCACTGTGTGGATACCTCCACCCCAATACACTCTTGTATTTTTTAAAATAAAGACATTTACACAGAAAACTTGATTTCTGTGAGTTTCTCTCTTCATCTGTTTATATTTTGGAGATAACTGGGGTTAAGTGACATCCCCAGGGTTACATGTCACACAGCTAGTAAGTGTCTGAGGCCAGATTTAAACTCTTGTTCATCTGTTTGTTTTTGAGGCAATTGGGGTTAAGTGACCTGGCCAGGGTCACATGTCACACTGGCCTGAGGCCAGATTTGAATTCAGATCCTCCTGACTCAGGTGGGTGCTTTAGCCATCGTGCTGCCTACTTGGCACCCTCTCCTGTTCATCTGGTAACACGTAAAGCACATTCAAGCTGAGTACCTCCCTCTCTTTTGCCTTACAGGAAGGAGGGTGGGGGGAGGTAGGTAGAGAAAAAACAATTCAAACCTACCCAAATAAATTAATATGTGCAAATAAGCTATGATAGATTATTTATATGATGGATAGGTGGCTATATAATCAAATTAGTTTATATGTGTAAACTTTGTAAACTTTTAAAAGCTATGAAAATGTCAGTTTCCCACATTCACCAAAAATCTTTGGGTGCCCAGCCCTATTGTTCAGTCTCCCTATCTGACTTTTCATGACCCCTTTTGGGGTTTTCTTGGTTTGCTATTTCCTTCTCCAGCTCATTTTACAGAAGAGAAAACTGAGGCAAACAGGATTAAATGACTTGCCCAGGATCACACAGCTAGTAAGTATGAGGCCAGATTTGGACTCCAGTCTTCCTGACTCCAGGGCTGGAGCTCTATCAACTGTGCTACCTACCTGCCCAGCCCTGAGGGCTCTAATAATAATAGCATTTATGTTTTAAAATTTGCAAAACATTGCATTTGTTTGATCCTCTCAATCACTCTTATGAGATAGCTATTCCCATTTTTTATATAGGGAAAAGATAAATAAATGAGAGAGGTTAAGTAACTTGCCCAGGGCCACACACTTATTAAGTGTGTGAGGCAGGCTTCGAACTCAGATCATATAAGAACTCCAAGGCCAGAGTTTGTACATTTCACTGCCTACCCTCTGAGAAACCCAAGGTCTCTTGAGGGCGATGGATTTCCTATCATGATACACATTTTCTTTGCCCTAAACTTTGTTTACTGTAGTTGAATGGCCTAATTTTTCCCAGGTTTGCTGCAGTTTAGCCCAAAAGTCTGAGCTTCAGAGTGGTAGAGTCCTGAGAAACATAGTGTACCTATGATACCTCATTTACATAGTGCTTTCAATTTTGCAAAGGGCTCAACTAATAACTCTGAGGTTAGTATTAGAATTATCAATATTTTATAGTTGAGGAAGCAAGCTCAGGGAAATTCAGGCAAAGAGAGCTAGATCTGGAATATCTGTTCTGAACCTCCTCTATTCTTATTTTACCTGTGGTCCTGCTCCATTCAAATCTAAACTCTTTGAGGGCAGAGGAACTATCTTTTTGTAACACTTAGCACAGTGTCCAACACATAGTCTGAGGGCCTGTGTGCGAATCCTGACTCTGCTATTTGCAGCCTCTGTAATTTTAGCAAGTCTTTCTACCTCTCTGGGCCCCAGTTTCTCCTCCATGAAGTAAAGGGGTTTTATTAAATGGTTTCTAAGAGCCCAAAGTGTGAGAACCATATGGAGAACCCGGACTCAGATCTTGAGTCTATTTCTTAATAGGTATGAAAATTGGGTGATTGAACCTTCTACCCCAAACCTCAGTTTCCTCACCTGTAAAATGAGAGGGTTGAACTAGATTATCTCAAAGTACCTTTTTAGCTCTCAATCTGTGATCCTATGACCTCTCTCCCTTCCCCCAGGAATAAACAAACCAAACATCTGAAATTGTAGATCACATGTTTTCCTTCTTTATTTCTCATTTTCTCCTTTCCTGGTTTTCCTCTAGAGTTTCACTAGAAACAAAAGAAGAGAGTGTGGGGGGGGGGCGGCTGGGCTGGGTGGGGAGGAGTGTGTTTAACTCCATGAGAACCAAAAGCAGCACTGCCTGACAGGGGTGAACCCACAGAAGGTGGACCCATCTGGGTCTCACAAAACAGTAAATGAAACTAGAACCCAAGTCTTCCCAGTTCTCAGAGTTTTGCTCCAGGGGAGGGAGGGGACAGGGTGGTTAATCCATACCCCATTCCCATGCCCCCACCCGCCCCCAGGGGTGGGCCTGGAATGCTCCGAGAGGGAATCCAGCCAACAGAGTGTTCCTTTCCAAGAGCCCTAGGGGAAGGGTGGAAAGAAAGAGAATTAGAAGGGTATAGAACTAGCATGCCCTTCATAGTAAGAGTTTCAGAACAATGTAGGGCACTCTTAAAACCTCTCTATTCAAAGCTCTAGCTCACTTGTTCTCAGAATCTCAAAATTTATATCTGGAAGGGACCTTAGTCCAGTGTTGCATTCAGTGCCTGATATGCTCAATCCTTTTTATAACAGCACGGCACAATGGCCAAACCCATAGAGACCAGGGTTCAAACACTGGCTCTGAATTGCTTCATCTCTCTTGGCCTCAATGTCCTCATCTGTAAAAGGAGGGGGCCGGAGTAGGTGGCTTTTGAGGCCCCTTCTAGATCTGGATCTACGATCCTTTGTTCTTACCAGCCTCAGTTTCCTATTAATTCCCAGGAACTGGTGACCTCGTGGAACAGTCCATACCGTTTTTGGACAATTCTAATTTTTAAAAAGGTAACATGATATGGTGAAAGTCATAAGAAAACCTGTATCATGAGCAAGTTACCTCATTTCTTTGATCTTTCATTTTTTATTTTTTGTCTTTCTTTGTATCCCCATGTCTGGTACAGTGCCTAGCACACAGTAATAACAATAGCTAGAATTTATATAGTGCTTCATGGTTTGTAAAATGCTGTACAAAATTTATCTCATTTTGATCCTCACAACAACCCTGGGAAATAGGTGCTATTATTATCCTCACTTTGCAGAAGAAGAAACTGAGGCAGACAAAGGTTAAGTGACTTGCCCAGGATCACACAGCTCGTAAGTGTCTGAGGCTAGATTTGAGCTCAGGTCTTTCTGATTCCGGGTCCAGCACTCTATCCGCTGGGTCATCTAACTGCCTTCAGAAGCCTGAAGAAGAGAAGATACTTAATACTTCTTGACTTGACTTGACTTGCACTACCTACGTCTTAAGGTTGTTGTGAGAAGGTCATGCTGTAAACATTAAAGCACTGTGTAAGTTATTATTAGTAGGCAACTCTTCCTTCTAAGGAGCTTAAATCTATCATGCCTGAAATTTATCCTAGGCCATTTTGTTTGAATCTCTCCTTTGCCTCCATTACTCTAGACCTTATATTGTGGTTGTTTGTTTACATCCCAGTAAAAAAGCTGCTTCAGGGCAGGGACAGTCATTTTTATCTTTGTATCTAAATATTTGTTAAATGGATGAACTACTGGTTGATTTTTATTCCTGACATTGTCCTGACTCAATCTGAGAGTTCAGGTTTGGGATTAGAATGAAATGAAATCTGGCAATAAACCAAAGGAAATGTATTTAGCCATAGCATGGGAAGGATATTTAGAAAGGATATAAATGCTGGTTTAGGTAAACACAGTGCCCCTCATCTCCATGCCCAAATTTGTCTGCTCAATCCATTGATCAACAAGCGTTTAAGAACCTACTATGTGCCAGGTTTGTGGTAGACACTTGGAGGTACAAATACAATAAATGAAATAATCCCTGCCTGCAAGGAGCTTGAATTCTAATGGAGGAAACAATAACCGTATATATATATATGTTATACATAAAATATATACACATGCATATGCAGAATAAATATTAAGTAAATATAAGAAATTTTGGGAATAGAGGGCTTCATGTAGGAGGCAAATGACCAGCACCTAGGCACCAAGGGTAGAAACGGAGTATTGTGTGTGAGGAACAGAGAGAAGGACTAGTTGATTGGTTTGAATTGAATTCAAGAGGGAGATTAATGATCAATGGGGCTGGAACACTAGGTTCAGCCCCATTCCTAAAGGGTTTTTAAAGGTAAATAGAGGTGTTCATATTTTGTTCCAAAGGCACTGGATTGTTTGCATAGGGGTGTGATGTGGTCATATCTATGTGTAAAGAAAATCCCTTTGGCAGTAGTATGAGGAATGGATTGGATTGGTGAGGTATGGGAGGCCCTTGAAATAATCCAGGGGAGAGGTGATAAGGATCTGAATTAAGGTGGATAAGGTGGTAGCTATTTGAATAAAGAGAAGGGGTCTAATGTGAGAGATGTTGGCAAGGTAGAAGTGGCAAAATCTGAGGCTTGATTGGATATGTGAGGTGAGGGAGAGTGGGGAGTCAGAGATAATGTAGAGGTCATGAAGGATGGTGGTGCTTTGGACAGAAATAGGATTATTTGAAATAGGAGAATTTGGGAGGAAAGATACTGAATTCAGTTCTGGACATGAAGAGTTTGAGGTGTCTCTGGAACATTTGGTTTGAAATGTCTAATGGATCATCTGGTGATGAGATACTGAAACTCAATGTAGAGTCTTGGCCTGGATATATAGATTTATGAGTCATCTGTAGAAGGATGATACTTCAACCCATGAGAGCTGATGTGTTACAAGACAGAGAATGAAGAAAGAGAAGGGGGACTAAGAGAATGCTACCTCACAGTTAGGTGTATGGTATGGATGATTGTTGTTATTTGTCCTTCCTTCTCAAAGAGGACCATGACATCAGAAAGGTGATGCCTTGACATGCAAGTGAATTGGATTTAAGTGAGGGAGTGATGGGGATGGGATCTGAACCCCTAAAAGGAAAAGCCCTGGACTTCCCCACATGGCCAAATCTCTGGTGTTCTCCTGAGGCTATCAACTGGCCTTTCATTATAGCCTATTCCCAATCTCCCAATTCTCTATAACCCTTAACCTATCCTAGTCCTCTATGGCCCCTGGCCACTTCTCACCCTTAATCCTATCTATGCTCCGTTTTCCCTTGGCCACATGGTCCAGGTCCTAGACTACTTGGCCTCTCATAGATCACTTCAACAATCTTTCCATATATAAGGTCCATCTGGCCTACATTAT